ATGGCCGCTACCATAGGTGCTAGGCTGTTTAGTTCTGTGAAGCAAGCTCTGAAACTTCCCAACATCAAGACTTACTTTTGGACAGATTCTTCCACAGTTCTTGTGTGGATAACTCGTCGAGAACAGTGGTCGGTATTCGTTACAAACAGAATAAGTGAAATTAGAAAATTGACAACTTTCGGAAGATTGGTTCCATATTTCAACTGACCAGAATCCAGCAGACATTTTATCAAGAGGTTGTGGACCTAGGCAACTTCAGAAACGCAAGTGGTGGCAAGGGCCAGCCTGGTTGAAGAATTCGAAGGAGCAGTGGCCAAAGTCAGCTGTAAATATTAACGAGAAAGGAAGTAGATAGAGAAACGAAAGTCAGTCATCTCTGCTAGTAACACAGAGCTAGAGTCAATTCCATTACAGTTAGCCAGAAGATTCTCTAGATTTTCAAAGATGATTAGGGTTATGGCTTGGATACTGCGTTTTCAACCAAAGGCCAAGGACTTAAGAAAATGTAAGGAACTTCAAAATGAAGAATTGTTAAATGCACAAAGGACTATTTTCCGTGTAATACAAAAGGAATGTTACTCTAATGAAGAAACACGAAAAAATTTGAAAGGTCTTCTAATATTTGAAGATGAAGAAGGAATTTTACGATTGAAGTCCAGATTGATAAATGAGGAAGAATCGAAAGATTTTATTTCTCCAATAATTCTACCATCGAAACACCTGGCAGTGAGAAGATTTATAGCCCAAGAACATATTGCTAACAAGCATGCTGGGACATTAACTCTACTGACTATTTTACGGGAAAGATTTTGGATAGTGAAAGGGAAAAGAACTGTCCGGAGTGTTATCAAAGAATGCTTAACATGTAAAAGGCAAAAGGTAAAACATCTTGAGGTACCTTTTCCGCCTCTTCCAAAAGACCGAACAGAAGTAGCAGCAGTTTTTCAAGTATCAGGTGTAGATATAGCTGGACCTCTGTTGACTAAATCTAAACAAAAGGTGTGGATAGTACTTTTTACTTGCGCCGTATTTAGAGCTGTCCATCTTGAGCTAATACCTTCACTGAGTACCAATGACTTCATCCAAGCTATGCGTAGGTTTATAGCCAGAAGAGGACGAATTTCTGTGATGTATTCAGACAATGGTACTAATTTTACAGGACTAAACAACGCTCTGAAACAATTAGATTGGACTACAATTGAAAGTGAATTTAGAGTCAACGAAATTCGTTGGAAGTTTAACCCACCCTCCTCTCCATGGTGGGGAGGCTTCTGGGAACGCTTGATTGGGATTTTGAAAGATCTTTTAAGAAAAAATCTTGGACGCTCCTGTTTGTCTTACGAGGAATTGCAGACTCTCGTCTGTGAATGCGAATCTATCATGAACAGCAGACCATTAACTTACATATCCGAGGAACAAGATCTGAAGACCTTGACCCCCTCAATGTTTCTTCAGGACATTCCATTAAATGATGTTCCTGACTTGGATCAAATTGAAAAGACTAATATTGTTTTGAGATGGAGACATATTCAAAAGGTTCGTGAAAATCTAAAACGAAGGTTTAAAAGGGAGTATCTGGGTTTCCTTCGTTCTTCAGTTAACAAAAGAGAAGATAAAATACATGTAGGTGACATAGTGTTAATTGGTACAGATGATAAAAAAAGGCTCCATTGGCTGTGAAACTGCGAACTGAAAAGGGAAACATATTAAGACCAATCCAACGACTGTACCCTTTGGAATTGACACCAAATGACGAGCAAGTCGTATCGGAACCTCAGAAGGTTCCGGAAGTGGTAGCTGAAAATACTGAGCTTAATACTGACTCTAATGAAACTGTTCGCGTGTCTCGCTCAGGACGAAAAATAAAACCAGTTAAAAGACTGGATTTATAAACTTCTAAACAAACTTTTGAACTTTCTGTGTTTGAACTCTAAAATATTGATTTCAATTTGCATTCTATATATTTTGAAATATTTCTATTATTATTATGTACGTTATTGTTATCTCAAAATTGTATGTATGTATTATCATGATGTTACTGTTTTGAGTTTGTATCCCCAAACTCAAGGTGGGGAGAATGTCGCGCCACGATCAAACTGCATGAGAGGTAAGTTTCTCTGTTACGGAATGGCAACGAGAGAGATTGTTGTTCAAAAAGATGGATGATCGAACTGCGTTGTAACGATCATTTTGGTGGATGTTGCGTATTGTAAAATGAACCTATTACACTGTGCTAAATAGTATTAAAATGCTATATATTAAAAGATCTTTCATCTGATCTAAATTTTAACAAACCGCTCATTATTTTCTCTTAAACTCACAATGTTCACGACAGCTGTTTCAAACGCATTAACAAATAAAGGCCAATACCCTTTCTTTCCTTGAACTGAAGTAATATAAGCTGCTACATGGTTATCAAACAGGTCGACTCCGGTTTTCATATATATTGTAGGGTTGGTAACTTTACCTGTTTTCTGTCACATATTACTCTTTTTTCTATAGTTGATACACTTTTTGTTTCTTAGAAATTGGAATTTACTAAAACAAAATTGTCAACAAGGCTGCAACCTTATCTTTTGAATCAAAACCGCTATCTAAAGAACAGCGTTCCATTTTTGACATTGTTTTAGTGGGTACAAGTAGCCATTTAGATATTCTGTGCTCTCTAACAGTACCTGTAGCGAAGAAGTCTTTACTTGCAAGAACGGATAATAATTCATGGGAAGTAAAGAAATTCTCTTCATAAATCTTATGTATATCAGGGTTTGTAACTATTGACAACAAATTTTGGACAACTGTATGAGATAACGGCTCATTCATAATTTTCTTCTTTTCTTAGTTTTATTCTTCTCCAAAATTCAAGCATGCAAAACCGAGAGAAATTTAGTTTACTTCGATGAATTTCAGAATACAAACTGACTTCAAACATGTGTCAATGTTTGAAACATTCACTCAACCCCCTTCCACCACACTTCACACACCTGTCTGTCACGCGATGTGCACCTGCCAGCTAGACTAAAAGTGCTCAGATTTCTTGTAGAACAGCAATGCTTGGAATGTAACAAAGAAAGAAATGATTATCTCCATTACAAACTGATGAGGATTTGGTAGTAGTGGATTTTACTGTCATTCTATTTTTAGAACAGTTAAAAATGCAAGAAAAATTATCTTTTAGATAAAAATTTTTGATAATTTTTTCTACTGGGATAAAAGTATGTAATATCATCTTCGTAAATTTATATGTATGTTTTTCTTGGAGCTCAAAATTTTTATAAACTTTTTGAAAACATAAGCAAAAAAATCTGCAAAAATCCCCATTTAAAAAAATAATAAAGAATATCTAAATTAATTCTAACTTGCAATAAAGACAAATATAGTTAAATGACTCTTAAATAATAAATCATTTTTAATTTGAACTAAATTATTTCAAAGATTTAATATAAAGACCATTTATGTGTGCTGTCCTATTTTAGGACGGACGATCAGGAAATATGGGTTAAACCATAAAATTCAGTTGAACTCCAATATCGCAAAATAATTTTAAAATGAGCATATCTTTAGAATTTCCAATACTCGGGCGCTGGAGATAAAAAAAAAAAAAATTCCGTACTGTGTTGTGAACTGAACGATTTCAAAGTGAACACAATTGTTCACTTTGAAATCGTTAAGTTTGTTAATCAAAAATTCGTTAAAGTTTTACAATATATGAAATAGATAATAAAACAAATTCCACATTCGGGTTTCCAGATGCACATATTCGGGTAGAAACGTGCATTATTCAAAGTCTGCTGGTTTTAGGTACCGCCGTTTTATCACATTTTTGAAGATTCTTCATTATTTGATTTCTTTAAATATTTGAATAAAACTCTAATATTTTGTGGCAACAAAATATACCACCATTTAAAGTTTTCAACCCAAAAGCCAAAACTAAATTCATAGCTCTTCTTGACTACCGCCCTTTGGTGTGATAATAAAATTATAACAAAAAATGGACACAATAAACATAGAAATCAATAGAAAACTATATAAATAGATTCAAAATTAGAATTTGAATTTAATAAATATTTACGAAATTTTACAACAGGGTCACTTTCACATTTTCCACTCTTTTCAACAATGATTATGATAACATTTGCACATCTTGTCATCATCAAAATACATTACCGGCCTTTGGGGTGATAATAAAATTATAACAAAAAAGTCAATAGAAAACTATATAAATAGATTCGAAATTATATAATAATTTTGAATTTAAATTTAACAAATATTTACGAAAGTTTACAACAGGGTCACTTTCACATTTTCCATCATTTTCAACAATGATTATGATAACATTTGCACATCTTGTCGTCATCAGAATACATGCACTCTCCATACTCACCACAGTCATATTCAATTAAATACCATTTAACTGTAAATAATGGAATTACCTTATGGAGCTGAATATATGATTTTTCAAACGGTAATAACCGAATTTCGGCGAAGGAATGCGGATTATTCTGATACATACATTAACGGTATCGTATTTTCTCTAGAAATAATGCAGACATATCATAGACAACTCATTTATTTTCCTTAATTATTATCCGACTTTAAGTAAAGTAATTTTAAGTTAAGTAAAGTAATTTTGTGCAGTTAAGCGGATGTGGGAGTTGTTTGCAGAACCAAATCAAACAAAATTATCTCTCTTTTAATAGAAAGGCTAAGTTTTAAAATTTATAGACCAATTTGTAAATGTTACTTTAAATTAAAAATTTCTTTTCTTGTTGATTTTAAGGTAAATATGAAGAGAGCAGAATTACACTTTAAACGAAAGGACAGGGAAAAAGAGAATTATGCGAAAACACTTTAAACAAATGCTCATGTTATTACATTTTTAGTTTTCCGAAGTAAGTCTTAGTCTAAGAAAAAGTATAATACATTAAAATAACTTATTTGAAGTGGTTTTATGCAGTTATGCTAATTTGTAAAGATTTTAATCAATAAAAAGACCAAGTTACCTTCGCATATGCCATCGTTTTCATTATATCCCAGAAAACAGGAACATATCTTCATACCGTCTTTAAACTGACAAGTTCCAAAATCTCCACAATCGCATTCTGTAAAATTTATCATTTGATTAAATCTCAGTCAAGCTTTCACTTGCAAGCGTTTGCATTTGCTGTAATGTTTTGTTTGCATTTGCTTAGTGTTTCGTTTATTGAATGAGAGGATAAATTTACTTGAGAATGCTGAAATTAGTTGAAGAAGATAAATGATTGCTTTAAAACCAATTTCTTGATAAACCTTAAACTATTATCTGTAGAAATTTATATGATTATTTGAATAGTTGAAATGATTATTTGAGTTATTAAGTGATTATTTGAGTCATATAGGAAGCGGAAGTGATTATCTGAAAATGATGGAAGGTGTTACCTAAAATATTTCAAAAGTGAGACAGTTTATTTTTCAGCACTTCTGGAAAAGATGGAGTCGAGAATACCTGTCTCAGCTTCAACAAAGACCTAAATGGCAAAAAATTCAAAACAATTTAGAAGTCAATGATTTAGTACTCATCAAAGAAGACAACTTTCCGCCTCTTAAATGGAGGTTAGGGAGAATAATTGCTGTTCATCCGGGCTCAGATCAAAGAGTCAAGAGTTGCTAGTATTAAAACTGGTCATGGTGTCATAAAACGACCAGTCGTGAAATTGTGTCCTCGTCCTATTCAGACTAAAAACTGCGAACTGCTTCGCATATAATATTCTGTATTATTTTTCTTATGCTTATCTTTTATTACAGACCAAGAAGTTTTAAAATGCTCCAACTGTTGAAATCCCCTGGGATTTCAACGAGGGCCAGGATGTTTATGTGAGTATCGTTTGCTTCATTTTATTGTTGCAAACAGCGTAAATTTCTTTTGTTTTTCGTCCTTTAGTTTTGAGCTTTATGTGTGGCAACAAGATAATTGATTGATAGAATTGTGTTTGTGACAGCCATGTAGAATGGCTCGCTTATTTTGTATCAATTATTTTGTTGCCACACATAAAGTTCAAAACTAAAGGAAGAAAAACAAAAGGAATTTACGCTGTTTGCAACAATAAAATGAAGCAAACGATACTCACATAAACAAAAGGAGTATGCCTAGTTTTCGTATTTGTATCATCTACATATTTAGAACTTGACTAAGAATGTAAATTGGCACTTTAAAAAGATTTGGTATGTGATTAAAAGCCTAATTTTCTAATTGCAATTAAACAGGACTTAAAAATTTCAAATAACTTCGTTCTTTAATCAGAATTTATAGCAAAATAATTGTGCAGATTAGGATTTGCTGCTTAAGTTACTATATATTCCTGAATTAATGCGACTCATAGTTATAGACATTCATATGGTTACTTTGGCATTAGACTCATTAAAATATTACCTTTGCATTCTCCTCCGTATTCAAGGTAGCCATCGAAGCAGGTACAGTTCTTCTCTCCATAAACAAATTCGCATGTGCCGCCATCACCGCAATCGCATTCTAAAAAATAAGTGTTTTACTTAATAAATTTGACGAAACGTATATTATCATAATGTGAAATTTTTGTTGCTTTCATTAACCATTAATTCAATATAATAAGAAAAAAACAGTTAGAGAAAACCAGCATAATTCTCAGCAAAAGCTCATGGGAGCGATTGTATGAGACTTATGAAAAATCTTCCACACTATGTCTTCCTTCAATTAACAAGTACCTTTAACCCATGTCTCGGAAAACCATACTCCAAACATTTTCCTCTTCTGTAAGCCTCGAAAATCTCCGGTTGATCCCTCAAATATTGGTCGATTGGTCTACTTCCGCCGTTGGGAAAGGCCCTTGAACGCATCAGTTATAATAGACTGAAGCTATATATTGCGCAAATAGCGGATAATCAACATGGCTTCTGACGAGACCTTTCAACTACTCACCAAATATTCATTGGAACAACAATACACAACAAATGTAGCTCACCTGTGCTTATGCTAGACGTGGGCAAAACCTTTGACCACGTCTGACATAAAGGACTTTTTCACAATTTTGCACAGATGAACCTTCCCCGGGAATTCGTTCTAATCAAAGTGTCATTTCTTCCAACAGAACTTTTCAGGAGGAAAAAGAGATTGTATTTCTTTTCCACTCCCAATCCGTGCTGCAAACCCCTTGGTTCCATTCGTAGCAAAAATTCAGATTTCCAGCTCCATGCACATTACGGCAAGAAGTTTCGTAATTTTAGTCGTAAGCAGTAATTTCCTGCTGAGTATGGGGCCCGATTATAAGTCGAAGCGAAAGATTTTATAAGACAGCATTTAACGTTTACGTAAAAGAGAAGTTTTTAACGAAAATACTTCGATGTTTTGACTTAAGTTCCTTTCTTGGTATGTAAAATGATATCCACTGAAATAATCGCGGCAAAAACATCGCGGACGCAAACGTCGCGGAGGAAACGACGCAGGTGAAAAAGAGAAATAATTGCAATTCTAAAATATCGTTATACAAAATATGGTGGTCGAAAATAAAGCGATTCAAAAACTTCGCTGTTTAAAAACATCGTCGTAGGAAATATCGCGGTAAAATATAAAGCATCTGCAAATCATCGCATTGGGATAATATAGCAAACACGCGTTTTTTAGGCTTTGAAAGTCGTAAATGCATATTTGCATACTGATTAGTAAGCGCAAGAAGAAAGGAGGAAATTTTTTACTTTTGCATTTCGTATGTTTGATTTAACTAATAAATTTTTGCTGAAAAAAAAAAAAAAAAAAGGAGGAGACTTAAGGATTTAAAAACTGAAAATGAGTAGAAAATTAATGCAACTTAAAGCTCTTCGTAGAAACTTAAGCTTACTTAACTTATTTTAACTCATAAAGGACATTAATAAATAAATTATATTTTTATAATTATAAATATTAAATTTTTATAACGTTTCACTGGTAATTTTTCATGAAAAATATAGTTTTAAAAAGAAAACAAAAAGGAAGATAAGTTACTGTATGAGGTAAACGCATGTCTGCAATACTATCGTCATGCGATGATTTATAGGTGCTTTATTTTTTACCACGATATTTTCAACGACAATGTTTTTAAACTGCAAAGTTTTTGAACCGCTTTATTTTCGACGACGAAATTTTGTACCACGATGTTTTCTCTCTGATTTCTTTTCTCCCACGATGTTATCGTCATGCGATGATTTATAGGTGCTTTCTTTTTTACCACGATGTTTTCAACGACAATGTTTTTAAACTGCAAAGTTTTTGAACCGCTTTATTTTCGACGACGAAATTTTGTACCACGATGTTTTTTAGAATTGCGCTGTTTTCTCTCTGCTTTCTTTTCTCTCACGATGTTTTGTACCACGACGTTTTCGCCTTGCGTTGTTTCCTCCGCAATGTTTTCGTCCGTGAAAATTTTGCTGAGGTGTTTTCGGCTGTATCTATGTAAAATATGAAACTTGGAAGCATATTTCTTTGATAGCAGTGCATTGTTTGCAGTGCAAATGGTCATCGATATTAAAAAAATAAAAGTACTGAGTGAAAATATGTGATACCTTTATAAATTGCTGAAAGAAGCTAAAATAATCATGAAATTTCAAGCAACTGTCTATTTTGATAATTAGCGGTACAGGTATAAGGAATAACCACATATTTCAGGCTCGCTGTCGTGGTATAAGAGGGTTAAAACTTTTGCCATTAGACAGTGAAATTCTAAAGCATTCTCACAATTTTCTACACCAAATGTGACAATCACGAAAATGCCATAGTAAGAAGCATAGGAGACTATGACTACACGGTGATAGAGCGGTTCAAAAGACAAGAACGATCCATCCCAACGAATTGTGGTGATCATTGTACATAGTGTAAATATTTTATTCTTTAATTTTATTTCTTCATTTATTTATTCTTTTTATTATAATTCCTGGCAAAGCAGGATAAGGACTATCGGTCAAAGCGGGTATAGACTTTGATCATTGTATGTTAATGCATTTAAAAATATTCTACTAGCTTCTACACGGCGATATTCAGTCTCCGACGAAACGCCATAGAAGTAGGTCGCTACATCCGTAGCGCTCAAGATATGCAATCAGCTAAAGGGATATGCTAACTGCCATTGTAATTGCTATATTGCTAATCTACGGCAATTGCCTTTATAGAAGGCTCCAGCCCGAATGGTGCATAAGCGAGTTCCAAAATTTTGGATTCTTATTTTCTTATTCAGCATTATCCGGAACGGACAAATATAGAGTGGTAAAGACCACTTAGTCGTACACCACTTACTAAAGTGATGATCTATGACCTATGGTATAAGAGGTACGTCTCTTGTACCAAATAACCTAACAGTCTGTAGAGTTGTATAACGCTAAAATGTATTGCAAGAAAATATATCATCATCTATATAGGATCGCGAGATCTCTTTCCTTTCACCCAAATGCCCTTTAATTGGGTAGAAAATAGGGATTATTGCCTTCCTTTCGTTTGTACTCTCTTATGAAACTGGTTACATCTCCAGCTAGAGAGCGAAAGAACCGCGGTTCGAATCCTGACAAGTATATAGGTGATAAAATGTGAAGGCTATATTCTTAAAAAAGTTTAAAGGTTGAGATAAAGGAATTTCTTACCTTCACATTTTCCATTCTTGACTGCGTAGCCGTCCTCACAGTAACATACTTTTTGACTGTATTCAAATTCGCAAAGACTATGCTGTCCACACTTGCAGTCTGTAAATAAAAGTGCATGAGTCTAAAAACATTATCTTTGACCTTTATTTTTTAATATAGCAGTCAAAAAATAAAACAGCATATCTATAAACTACCAGTATAATTTCAAAAACTCATTTTTTGAGCCATCTTGGTGTATTTTGTCCGGCGCCTACACTGATGAAATTCTCATCAACTGCTCTTATGGAATTCTAAATATTATTACCCAGGATATTTATTTGCATCATCACTTGTATTTTTAGTATCTTATTCTTAAATTTGAATTAAGCGGGATTACATTCTACTGTACTTATATGCTGATGAATGACAACATGTCTCTTTACTGAATTTCCCCACACAGAGGTAAAAGTGCCTCTTACCTGGAAAATTTTCAATTATTCTCTGATAGTACACTTTATGCACTTTTTTGTACCTTCATTCCCGAAAGGCTTTGAAAGCACTGAAAAGAATTACTTTTGTGTCTGGAATGCAGTATAAACACCTGGCTTAAAGTTTAAAGTTGTCCTATGCAAAAGTAATATACTTCAGATTTACTTATGTTTATACAGCTTATCACTGTCAGTCCTTAGCTTATCAATTCTCATATAAGTTCATTAGCCGTATAGACCGTTAGTTCGTTAGTTAGTTAATTAGGACATTAAGTTTCAGTACTTTCATGTCATGATCATCATAAGATATCTGTATTAATATTTGTAATTGCATCAGTTATTTGAAGTTTTTTAGTATGTCATTATTGTCTCTAAATCTGTAAATTTAAAAAAATGTTCGGGCTGGAGAAGCATGAGAGAAGTCCCTCAAAGATGCTAGGCACAGAAGTTCGTCTGTTTTTAACTTTATCGCTGTAGCAGGCTTTTCTAGTAGTCTGGGCTGGGCAACTGTCCGTTCAGGGAAGTTCGCAGTAGAGACTTCAGGAGCTAGTTGCCGCTGGGTTCTTGGCTGGTTTTTTTTTTCTCAAATGTCGCCTTGTAGGCCTCACACCCACGAAATCTACTCACGTGATCCTTACTGCGGTATATGCAGTGTGGCTTCTTATCAGGGTTTTTAGGACACATGTTACTTCGGTGGGGTTTACCGCATTTAACACAACGCACAGGAGCACAGGATTGTTCCACAGATGCTGTGTATGTCCAAAGGTCTGGCAGCGAAAACACTGCACAGGCCTTTTCCTTGGCTTGTACTTTTCAACACGAATGTCGAAACTGAACATATGATTCAACTGGAAGATGTGATTACCTTCAAGGCTGCGTTTTAGGTCAACGAAGAAGATCGCTAGCTTCACTTGGGCACCATTCTTAGAGCTTGATTTCACTGCCGGGAATTTTCTCTTAATCAAATCGTCGAGGATCGTCTTTTCCTGGATATGAAGGAAACCACTGGTGGCACATTTCTTAAAAGCCACCGCTAGCTCAACGAATAAAGGTGATTTAAATATTAAAATGTTAATTCGCCTGTCAAAGATCTCTTTGTACACAACATTTCTTGTGTAGATCGTTCCATCATTTTTACCTTCACATTTTCCATTGCATGGAAGAAGGAAACTTAAGCACCTAAATATTGAAAATGAGTAGAAAATTAATGCAACTTATAGAACTGAATAGAATTTTAAATTTACGTAGTTAATTAACAAAGGTCATTAATAAATTAACCTTTTTTTGAGTTTTACCGATAAATTTTATTAAAAATACAGTCTAAAAATGCTTATAAAAAGTAAGAACTACATGAGCTTACCTCTATAAAAATTTCTTAGTTAATGATCAAATTATTTTCCTTCACATTTGTTAATCTGATATTGTTTCCGTGAAAATTATATATTGTTTTGTTTCCGTTTATTCTTAAAGGGTCTTTTACATTTTCATGTATAGCACGCAATCAATTTTTTTGGATGTCGACTGTTTAGTTATGACGAAAATCAGTTACATAATATGTCAGTATGGGATTTCAAGAACGAATGCGTGCAATGTTATCGTCATGCAATGATTTGTAGATACTTTATTATTTAGCGCGATATTTTAGACGACGATATTTTTAAACTGAGGAGTTCTTGAACCGCTTTATTTTCGACCGCGATATTTTATATCACGATATTTCAGAACTGCGATGTTTTCTTCCATGATGTTTTATACCGCGACGTTTTCACCTTGCATTGTTTTCTCTGCGACGTTTTCGTCTGCCATGTTTTCGGCTGAAAACTTTGTGATAAAGGTATTATAGTGAAAGAGCTACGGATTGCGCCAGTTAATTCAATGGATCATCAGTTCAGGTGATGGAAACTTACCGCTGTTGTTATTGAACGTTAATGACTTCAGCGAGCTAGGTAGATTACTGTGTGTTACAGGGTGCAGTAAAACGTTTTTGCACAATTCTAAACCTAATTCTTCAAAATTAAATGGACTTCTTTCAGAACTCAAGCAATCTTTGGATCAAAGTCACTCATTACAAACAAGTACAGAGGTACAAACAGGTACAGTACAGAAGCTACCAAATTTCTTTCTAAAGGTACTATCGACAAGAGTTCACACATATTTAAATTGAATCCTGAAGGTGATGACAATAACTTACTTTGTTTGAAGGGGCGGTACAGTTTACATGTAACGATATAAGAGCCAAACATCCTTGGCTTCTTCCATCTGATGATAAATTTGTTGAATTACTCCTCTATGATTATCATACTAAAATGTGTGCAATTCAGGTGTTGATGCAACTTTAACTCATTTACGAGAACAGTTTTGGATTTTCAAAAGTCTTTAGTTTGTGAAAAGTGCTAAAAACTGTCTGATTTTCAGGCACGTCAAAGTGAAATCTCGAACGCAGTTGGTTGCCTGTTTACCGCCTGACAGAAATCACGGGGCATGCGCCATTTGATATATATGGTGTAGATTTCTCCGGACCCTTTTTTTTGTGCTTGATTTTAATTGTGTTATTTACTTATATTCAGCTGCGCAATGACAAGAGGTGTCCTCTTACAGTTAGTTCTCGACGTAAGTGCTGATTCTGACGGTTTGTTTCTCGGTTTCTGACAGTTTGCTAGGATTCCGACGGTTTGTTTCTCGTCGAGGATTATGTTCCACTAAATATTCTGATAATGTCAAAGCTTTAAAAAAATCCAATTATAAATTCAGAAAATGATGGAACCAAATAGATAATGATCAAGCTTTGGAATTTTTATAGTTGAAAAATGTGCATGGTAGAGAAGTTTCTAGATGCGAAATGTGTACGATGCGGAAGGCAGATGCCAAAACCTTTTGAAGGTTTTTCCAAATTTTTGGCCATGATGTTTCATTGTTTGTTAAATTAAACCTCGTCATTTATCAGCTTAAATATTAGGAACGTTGAAGTTTCAAAGTCAGATAATTTAAAAAAATTTTACTGAATTTTTAATTCAGTTTCAGTGTAGGGAATGATGAAATATCGGTTCTGTTTTATATACTCAAATAGCTACTTTCCGTAAACGTTTTCAGCTCCGTCGGCAAATATATCTTAATGTTTCAATGACAACTGCAAATTTGCGTCAACCTCTTTTCTTTTTTCTGAATATTTATCCTTTCATTCCCAAACACTACAACGAGAAGTACTCCATTCTTATCTATCTTTTCTATGCCTAATTTGATACGCCTAATTTCTAATTTGATACGCCTTGCAACTGGGAGTTGACACAAAGTGCTTTGTGCTGTTTTATCAGATGAAATTTAAAAAGGCATGAGGTGATAAAATATGATAAATGACGGCTTCCTGGATAGCAATCAAATACTGAATAGAGAAAGCTTTTAGAACTTAGCATATAAATAAAGAGAATTCCGAGAAGAAAATGACATCACACCCATGCATGAAACTTCATAAATGTTGGATCGCATTAAACATCGTTATGTATGTATATAAACACATAATAAAGCCTCGCTTAATTAAAACGAGATGAAAGATGAACCAGTAACAATATAAAACTGTTGGAAAAATTAGAACTGATTTAAGATGGCTTGAAAAGTAGCTACCTCTATATTCTTTATCAACAGTTTTCTTTATTTAATTATTTAGTGAAATAAATATTTTATAAACGATTAAATTAAAACCATTGTGAACAAAGATTAAAAAAATAGCAGAGAAGTTTTACGGTACATGCCAAGTAAACTTTTGCCAACACGAGCCAGTTTCATTTAAAAAGTCCTTCATGAAAGCATCCCTCGCTTGACGTATAGCTCTCGACTTACCGTAGTTAAGTCAATGGACAAGGAATTTTCGCCATTCTTCAAAGATGTTTTATTAACATTATTATCTCTCCTGAAAAATATTTCTCAAGTTAGAAGCTTCCGATTATTCAAGCGGTGTAATGAGATTATTTTTACTATCATATTTTTCAAAAACTGCGCGTTATGGATATATACGTGTACTCATCTTTAATGCTATTAATTTTTATCACGTGATTTTTTCCATCAAATGTATCTCAGATGGTATACTGGTTAGTGGATGCAGGCAGATTCTCCCCCATTAGGCTTAAAATCCCAAATGCAGTCTCTTTACGGTATGGAGACACTTAAATTGCGTCGAATTGAAAGTTCTCTTAAGAAGTAGTTGAAAGATGGATACAAGGCTCTCCGATTCCCTTCCCTTAATGTTTCTCAGTCATAATTCGGATAGATCTTAAACAGATAACTCTTATATGTTTTGCTTAAATTAATTAATATAATCCAATAAGTTTCTCGGTAAAATCTTTGAAACATTTCAACCTTTTAAAAATATAAGCAAAAATACAACTAAAATAAAAAATTTTTATTTATTAATTTTTTTACTAATTTTTCCGCTTTGGTAATTATTGACAAAACTGTTTCCTATGTCGTAAAGAAATGAAAATAAGATAATTAGGAAAGAAATTTTTTAAGTTTTGAAAGAGAAAATATTTTCTAGTAACATTTTAGTTTCGCTTTCCCTTTCCGTTTCACCTTTATTTCACTCTCTCTTTTCATCAGTATGTAAATGGCCAACTAAAAGAAGGAAATGAATTTAGATTAGGCTACTTGATTAAGGCAAAACAATTAGATAGCTATCTGTCTATGGGGACGGATGCCTTCATCGAGGACGCTTCAAAGAAACTGGATTGTTTCCATGTTTAACGTGGGAAAAACCACTAAGCAGCCAGCCCTTTCGCCAGGATTTAATCCTAGGTCGAACTACTAGTGTTCAGCAACGTTACGTTTCGGCCAGTTTTGTGTAGAAAAATGACATAAAGTGCTAATGGTATATTTTTGATGATCTAATGAGTGCTGAAACTAACGATGCTGAGATCTCAGCATACCCATATTGAATCGTTATTTACCACAGAGGCTCGTTATGGAGAAAAGCGATATTCATGAAATAAATGAATTCAGGCTTTTATTTTTGTTAGATATTCTTTGTAAAGCGTGGCTAGAGATCTTTTGCTTCTAGATTCAAAAGTTAAATGTTGCTTTATTGTCAAGCGTATTTGCTTAATGCCATCGTAATCTGAAAATGTATTCAGTTTGTATCACCTTATTTTGTACTTTCTATCAACTTAAGTTGACCTATTTTTCAGAGCGGGAGGAAAAAGTAACGCTGGCAGTGTATAATGAGGTGAAGAGAATGGTGAAAAGCCGAAGACACATTTTATACAGTACAAAGTCCGTAATCCGGACTCGTCGGGACTTCGGCGATTCCGGATGAAGGATTTTTCCGGATTATAGATCATCAATTTGCTCAATCAAAGATGGCATGCAGAAATTATACAATTAAAAATATGAAAACGTAATTTATGAAGAGCATTATGATCTAAAGGGTATCAAAATTTGCAAAAAAAAAGCTTAATATTTATTTGTTTACTTTATTAAAAATTTCTTTCAATGTAAGTTGTTTAAGTTACTTCATTTTTTGTGCTATACGCGCATGCGTAAACATTAAACGCGCATGCGTACAGCATACAAAAAAAGTTCGTGAATTTGAGGTCCGGATTATAGATCATTCCGGACAATAAACATCCGGATTACAGACTTTGTACTGTATTAAACAATGGTATCTCTCAAGCTGAAACTAAATTACTAGACTAAAAAGGTAACGAGTACAAAAATGTTTAAAAATTTCATAAATATTAATAATATTAGAATGCAAGAGTAAGCATAATTTCTTCATCTGTGAGCTGTATCATCAAGAAAATCCTGGCAGATTTGCATAAATCTCTAACAGTCGTATTTTCAGTCATACTTCCTGTGATTGATTATATATCTAAAAATATTCTAAGTAAAAATGGTACACGTGACAGTATGTTAAATTGTATAATTTTATCTCGTATAAAATGTCTCGGGTCTATAAGTTTTTGATTATAAGACTCATTATAAATTTCTGGAGAACTATGCTTTTGGGGAATTCCTAAACGATTTCATGAATGCAAGAAATCGGTTGTGTATGCTACTGCAGAATTAAATCATTTATAAAGGACTGAAAAAAAAAAGAGACTTTATATTCTTTCCTACGATAAAAACAATATTGCTTGTGAAACAAATAATCAGATTATATATGTCTATTATATATTACTATAGCATTCATTGCGAACAGCGTTTGAAAAAAAAATCAGTTGTCTGTTTTTAGTGCTTATTTTGTGTAGTTATTGTTCGCGTAACTATATTTACAAGAAAGCCAAAACCTTCTCTTTTTAGTGCATTTAATTCCAATTGCTTTTTCTGCTTTATGGCAAATAAAATACCAGTGCTATTGCCAATGTTTCGAAATTAAGCGTCCAGTTTAAGAATCTCTAGTTACCTAGCTTTTCCTTAGAATGCTTTAAAAATTATATATATTTAATGTATTTGTTAAATACATTAAATATATATTTAATGAATAATAAATAATTAAATTTAATAATATTTGTGCAAGTGAAGTAAAATAAATTACTTCACTTGCACAAATAAAAATTGCTGTTGCTCATCTAGCCAAAATCACAAACGGCTACATTTTAATTGCATTAAACAATAAATTTCAGAAGATTAAATATTTTACAGAAGAATCTGAAAAATATTTTAATTCCTGGCAGAAGAAGTAAGTCAGAACATATGAGAATTTCTCAAAAATGATAATCTCAATGTTAGGCATTTTTAAGGCCAATTTCTGCTTCAAAATATCTACTAGCTTTGATGTTAATATATAAATAGAAATTTATTATAGAAGAGAAATTACATTGTTTGCGAAATATTATAAGTGATGGAAAGTTTGTAGTGCGACTGCAAGGTCTTTCTGCTTTGCCACATGCAAATGGAACAACAGTCAAAACAATGACAGTAGCTAACTTGGACATTCAAATGCAAGACGTTTAAATAGCGGCTCGTCATGAATACCATTATTCTAAATTACAAATTTTTGCTCTTGTTGAATTGAATGTTTGAATTCTGAAATTGAATGTTTGAAACATTGAACTTACCTATGCAAACGCCATCTTTCTCAGCAAATCCCTTGTCGCAAATGCATTTCTTCTTATAACCATCGTCTTGCAAAGCGGTTTCGATGAAAATACATTTTCCTCTCCTGCCACAGTTGCAAGCTAACACAAAAAAGACAAAAAAAGCTATTGTACTATAAAAAAAACATTATTTTATGCAAGCAAGTAATTTTATTCAGTATGCATTTATTATATTTACTTCTAATAAAGGCATCATTTCAAAAACATGTACATATCATACACATGTAAGCAGTAGAGTAGCAAGCACAACTGATACCTGGGGCAAAATACCTTTTTGGACTCCGACTCCCCCCCCACCCCGAGAGGAAAACACAGTGATATGATGAAAATCTTGTTTGGAGACCATTTGACGCCCATCTGCGAGCGGCACCGGGGCATCATAAACCCCCTTGCCACGCCACTGCATGTACGGACACACATATGATACAGAGGTGCACAAAAACGTGCACAGCTGTACATATCATACACATGTACAGCGCACCTTCACTTACAATACTCTGATATCAATATATATTTTAGAAAGAGACGGGTGGGAATATTATTTATATAGCCTTCATTTAACAAGCAATAAAACTCACAAAAGAGTAGAGAAATAAAAGGGATTGCTTTAAAGACGTTTTGAGAAACACTTAAAATAAAAACAAAATGCTACCGTTTCATAGCCTGAAGGACCACGAATAGAGACAAGATGAATATGTACTACCAGTTTCACAAAATTTCACGAATTTTGAGGAGAATTTTAAACCAAAAACGAAGGATTAGATATTCTTCATTTTTGAAAGAATAGATAATGAACACTCATCATGAATAAAATGAAAGTTTATATTATTTATCAGAGAGAAGAAAGATCAAACACAACTGATAAAGCGTACACTGTGCTCATATCTTAATTCAAATTATTATTCAAATTATTAGTGAACTGAAATTATTGATTCAAATTATTAGAGAACATTATTAAGTGTTCTCTAGTAGTTTTTAGAACTAACAACTGCGCAAGAAAATTTAACATTATTTAAAAATTTATGAACACCAAAAACGCAAAACAAGTTGTTAATTTTTTTGTAATAATGTGTTTGACGAAACAATTGATATAGGATATGACATACGGTATGTATCATGGAAGTATGTTTTTGGGCAAAAAATTACGAGTTTTTGCTCATCTAAAATTCTTATCAAAGCTGTGGATAAAAAGCAAGGCTTTTCGTACTGGAATGTAATCACTGGATTATATGGTCAAATGCGTAACATCAATGCTTTATCAAACGTGCTATTGTATTTTATAACTGTGTTTTAATCCGTATTCATGCTTAAAATAAAATTCAATTTTTCTTAAGTCTTATGCTTGACAAATATACACGAGTTAACCTTACTGAGGTGGATTTACACCTACCACCAAATTAGGAATTACATTCCATGAATGAATGGGAGATAGTTTGGTTTGATTTATTTGGCAAACTACTCAGTGGCTGTCTGCCTAAGCTGAAGGATGCCTTCGTGGAGGTCTTCCGAAGAGAAAGTACATTGTAATCATGTTACATATGTGGAAAACTACAGAAACTCCCATGCAGCATGTCCGTTAATTTTACTCTAAATCGAATCAAAATACTAGTGTTCAGCGACTTTACAGCTCGGCCAATGGTGTGCCTGAATGGAATGTAGAGAATTAATTCGTGCGAAAAGGGAAGGATGGTCGATGGTGTGAGAATAAAGAGAAGTGGAAAATCACGCAAAAGATGTGTAAGAAAATATTTACAATATAGCATAAGAAAACGTTGCCATACTGCAGGTTCATGGTCAAGCAATTTTGACGGAGATGAAACACATAAAATCGAAGTGAGAACATGATCGAAATTATCATAGTAATGAAACTCTTTGCGATTTATATGTTATCATAAAACTGTTTGTTGATTTTGAAGGAAGCAAATTGTTCACATTGGTAACATTTAAATCCCTACGTATAGATTTGTTGCTAATGGATCATAGAAAGGTCTTCAGTATTTTATTTTGTAGAGTTTACAGTTTTTGGATCAAACTTTCTGACCAAACAGAAGCGCCAAATAATTAGTCTTATGAACCTTATGGGAACTTTTCTTCGTGTTCTTGGAACTAGGTTTTAACTCAGAAGCAGTTAAACTGTAGAAGGCAATGCGAAACTGATGTTATTAGTCCACATGAATCTACAGCTGATTGAAATAGAAAGAAAAACCTGGAAATCTGTCGTTCTACTACAGTAAATTCAAGAGTTGTTAAGTCAATGAGGTATGGTTTTCCTGGTTTAATCGAAATCCTAATACAAGTTATATAGTTTTCTAGCTGTTTCATTATTATCCTGTATAACTTTCAGGATAACGTTGGGACTTAATGATTTGTTGACATATGATGCTGTATCGTCAAGTAGCAAACCAGTAAACAATGCCTATTAGTCTTAAGGGTTTTGGCATGTATAGCAAATGTAATATTGGTTCTAAAATGGATCATTGTTTCATACCTGCAAGCAGGTGGGTTTTAAGAGAAAGCTTCCAAATCGAACATTAAAGAGTCTGTCACTCAGAAAAGTGTGGATGAAAATATCCTGATGACAGAAATCCTTTCGAATCATGTTGATAATAAGGAACTTGTGCAAAACCTTACCTTATTTATTTAGCTTGTCTTACCAAAGTTAAACTTTTCCCAAAAAGTTTGATATGTGCTGCATGGTTAAATAATTCTGCCTACATTTCCGAATCGTGAACAATATGTTTCTAGATTAATACTAATCTTACATCTCTCACACTATGCTTTTATTTCAAATAGCTTGCGATAAGCATAATTCCTCATACCAAATACGACTGTAATATTTTATTCACGTTTCCTTAAAAAAAGCGCGGGTGGTAGATATATAACTCTTCTGACATTTTATCCGAGGGGGAAATCATAATAACATAACGCCTTAGTTGAATAAAAAAAGAAACATTTAAAAAAATACAGGCCACCCCCCCCCAAATCAAAGATAAGCTGAGAGTCTTAAGTTTAAATTGATCAGTTTGAAATGCTTCTCCTTTTCCATTTGTTACTGTCAATAGGCAATAAATGAGCAACGCATTAAGGGTTCAGGTATATTTTAGGAATGAAAACGAAATGATTTTTTTATAACTTTGTATTAAAATGTGATTATTTACAATCGTCTTTAAACAAACGTCCTGTAAAAAGTGGCTGTAGGGCTAAAGGTGTGGTAAAAGAAATAGTTCTAATTTTTGTAATTTACCGTGTCGGATGGTGTGTTTACATTCATATTTCAGCAACTTTATCGTATCATATGCCCTGAACTACATGTAAAATGCTTAGGTATGCAGTGTTACACAATTATATAACCACACATCATGAAATGTTAACTTATATAACTAATGTCTATATATCTATTTATTTATTAATGTTGCACGCGTACGTATTCGTAATAGATTGAATGTACACAGCAGACGAGAGCTTGATAAAATTTATTTTACCAAAAGAAATACTTCAATGTTACCAATGTTCAAATTAAATTTTACTAAAAGAAATACTTTTAAATATTTTACAGTTCTGGAAATTTCTACAAAAATAGTCTACAGTTCTTCTCCGTATCACAGAGTACAATCAGTAGTTTACACTTCAAACCACTAAGAACTTTTAAATATTTTACAGTTCTGGAAATTTCTACAAAAATAGTCTTCAGCTCTTCTCCGTATCACAGAGTACAATCAGTAGTTTACACTTCAAACCACTAAGAACTTTTAAATATTTTACAGTTCTGGAAATTTCCACAAAAATAGTCTACAGCTCTTCTCCGTATCACAGAGTACAATCAGTAGTTTACACTTCAAACCACTAACAACTTTTGAATATTTTACAGTTCTGGAAATTTCCACAAAAATAGTCTACAGCTCTTCTCCGTATCACAGAGTACAATCAGGTGTTTACACTTCAAACCACTAAGAACTTTTAAATATTTTAAGGTTCTGAAAATTTGCACAAAAATAGTCTACAGCTCTTCTCCGTATCACAGAGTACAATCAATAGTTTACACTTCAAACCACTAAGAACTTTTAAATATTTTACAGTTTGGAATTTCTACAAATGACAAAACAAATAAATATTTAAAAAATTTCTCTTCTCCGTATCACAGAGTACAATCATAGTTTACACTTCAAACCCTAAGAACTTTTAAATATTTTACAGTTCTGGAAATTTCCACAAAAATAGTCTAAAGCTCTTCTCCGTATCACAGAGTACAATCAGTATCTTACACTTCAAACCACTAAGAACTTTTAAATGTTTTAAGGTTCTGGAAATTTTCACAAAAATAGTCTACAGCTCTTCTCCGTATCACAGAGTGCAATCAGTAGTTTACTCTTCATACCACTAAGACCATTTAAATATTTTACAGTTCTGGAAATTTCCACAAAAATAGTCTACAGCTCTTCTCCGTATCACAGAGTACAATCAGTAGCTTACTTCAAACCACTAACAACTTTGAATATTTTACAGTTCTGGAAATTTCCACAAAAATAGTCTACAGCTCTTCTCCGTATCACAGAGTACATCAGGTGTTTACACTTCAACCACTAAGAACTTTTAATATTTTAAGGTTCTGAAAATTGCACAAAAATAGCTACAGCTCTTCTCCGTATCACAGAGTACAATCAATAGTTACACTTCAACCACTAGAACTTTTAAATATTTTACAGTTCTGGAAAATTTCCACAAATATTCTAAGCTCTTCTCCGTATCACAGAGTACAATCAGTAGCTTACACTTCAACCACTAAGAACTTTTAAATGTTTAAGGTTCTGAATTTTCACAAAAATAGTCTTCAGCTTTCTCCGTATCACAGAGTGCAATCAGTAGTTTACTCTTCATACCACTAAGACCATTTAAATATTTTACAGTTCTGGAAATTTCCACAAAAATAGTCTACAGCTCTTCTCCGTATCACAAAGTACGATCAGTAGTTTACACTTCAAACCACTAAGAACGTTGAACACAGCGTAATGTAAAGCGAATGTAAAAGGCAAATCTCACACAGCTCGTACGGATATCTGTTAGTATATCTTACTCAACTTATTAGCTGCACTAACTGAACTAAACAACTCAGAAACTGATACTCTCTCCTGTCTTGCATAGTTGTGCCCCAGCCGCCGAGAAATCTCTAGTACTTTTCACGTCTCGAAATTATTGGAAGGAATATGAGGGTTGGGCACGGTTACACATAAGGATAAATTACAGTTATTCAATTACAATACCAGTTATAGTTGTACAGAGACTGGACCAAAATATCCCCAAATGGTCAAGTTTGGCACCTTTTGTCGATTTTTCGCCAAAACTATCGACAGCTTGGCGATACTTCGCCAACTTGGCGAGATAGCCATTTACCTTAATATTAATTAGGCTTGCAACTATAATTTTAACTGTAATATTATTTTTGCGCCACAGCTTCATCTCTTTCAAGCATTTCATGTTACATTATACAAAAAAAGACTACAATTTCACATATTTCACTAAAATTATTTACATATATGCAAAATTCGTAACATTAATATTAATAATGTGCTTACAAGATTCCAAGGTAATTTCGTTTGCAATATAAGATTTCACAGAAATCTGATATGCATGCATGCATGATTTCCCTTAAATAGCTGAATAAATTTTCAAACAATTTTAATGAATTATATGAATTTTATATTTGTACAAAATTACTAAATATTATGCTTCGACATACGAACTTTTAATACTTTTATTAAATTTGAAATTGTATGAAAATTTTGATTCGTCACTTTGCTTGTCTCAAAAAAAATATGGTAAAGGTGTATGCAATGTTGTTTAAATATGCAATTAATGTTACGGATTTTGTGTTTACCTAGATAACTTAAGTGAAATCACATGTGAAAAAGTAGTATTTTTTGCATAATGTAATATGAAATGCTTAAAAGAGACGATGCTCAGCCGGAAAAATAAGATTACAGGGGCCAAGGCATTACATTGGCGATATTTCGCTAAGCCAATGTGGCGACGGTTTTGGCTACAAATTTGTGTCGCAAAATTTTATGAGAAATCGCCACAAGTCGCTAAACTTGACAATTTGGCGACCATTTGGTTCGGTCCCTGTATAATTGTAATTGGTGTTGTGACTGGATGAATGTAATTGATTCTTATATGTAACTGTTACCATATTCGGCCTTCATCTGCTTTCCAGTAATTTTGAAAAGTGGAAGGTACTTATGATTTCTCGGCGATTGGGGGGAAAACTATACAAGATCGGACAGATTAGTATTGTTACGAAATGTACAGGCGCGGTAAGATGGCTTCCCCGCAAAGCAGTTTTAGGGTTGCCATAAAATATCAGGTAAGGCAAGGATGCCATATTTGGCGACATCATTGGCGATATGCCATGGACGGATGGAGAACCTTCTGGAACTAATTCTTATCGGTTTAGCCCAGAATGTTCTCGAACACAAGCCGAAAGCTATATAAACTCTGCTGGTCCGCAGTCAGTCAGTATGTGATTCTTCTCGCGAGCTGATAGTCAGTCATTGAGCGAGTGTCTCGAAGTCTAGCGCAGAGTTGGTCGTCGAGTGCATCGAAGAGTCTCTTAGTGTATCGCGGTTAGTGCCTCGTCGAGAGAGTGTGTTGAGCTCCAGAAACGACTGAACCGAAGAGTCGGGAACTGTGCTCTGCTTGTCGTCGAGTGCATCGCGAGTTGCAGTGTGGAGAGTCTCGAGAGTACGGGGGTTCCGAGAACGACCGAGCAAAGTCGGGAGCTGTACTCTGGAGCTTTGCAGTGAAGCTGTCTCAACCGTTATAGCTTGATAGCATGAAGGCTGTGTCGCTGATTGTGTAAGCGTATTTATAGTACTTCTTCGACGACTGTAACGTGATGTTGGAGCTGTCCTGATTAACATTGGCTAAATAAAGTGTGTGTTTCGATATTTCATCAAGTAGTGTCGTCATTATTCACTCCAAATCGATACAAATTCCGTGTGAACGTGAAGGAAGAAAAAATAGTAACAGTATCCTGTTTGTTAGTTCAGAGCTGAATTCGGAGTGTTGAGATATCCGTGAGAGCTTCGCTTTTTAGATGTACTTTGCATTGCACTATGCTTAACGTTGGTATTAGTTTGAAGTGTAAGTACTGATTGTACTTTGCTATAATAAGAACTGTACAAGTACTTTTGTGGAATTTTTCAGAACTGTAAAGTGTTTCTTTGCGGAAAATGAATTGTATCAAGTTATCATCGTAATTTTATCAAGTATGTGTGGTTTCAATCTATTGAAAATACGTTCGAACGCAACAATATGTATGCGCACAGATTTAAAATGACATATTGTTACGAAATGCTCAGCCGCGGTTTTAGGGTTACCAGAAGAAGGCAGGGTTGCCATATTTGGCACGAAATCGCCTATTTGGCGGTAAAATTGACGATATGCCATGGACGGATGGAGAATGTTTTAGAATGAATTCTTACCGGTTTGGCTCAGAATGTTCTCGAAAGCACCCCAAAAGCTATATAAACCTTGCCTGTACGTGGAGTAAGAGTCGATCGCGAGTATCTTGAGTGTGTTTCGGAGTCTAGTTGAGTTGATCGTCAACTTAGTGTCGAGTTGGTCATCGAGTGTATTACGAGTTAGTGCATCGCGAGAGTGACTCGTCAGTATATTGCGAGTTGGTGCATCTAAACCGTTCATCGTTGAGGCTATCGAGTGCATCGCGAGTTGTAGCGTGGAGAGTCTCGAGAGTATGTAGAGTTCCGACAACGATCCGAGCCGAGTCGGGAGCTGTACTCTGGTGCTTTGCCATGAAGCTATCTTCACCGTTATAGCCTGAAGCCCGTGTTGCTGATTGTTTCAGCGTGTTTGTCGCAGTTTTTCGACGACTGTAAACGTGTTTTTGGAGCTGCTCCGAGTAAAATGTCTAAAAATTGCGTTTTCATGCTTCGTCAAGTGCTGTTGTCATTATTCACTCCAGAACCTGTTCAGAAACGCAACAATATATTTGTCTCTCTTTATTAGTAGTATTAAGAGAATAATGTGCATTTACAAGATTTCAAGGTATTTTTAACCTAAGGTTTCTGAAAACCTTAAATAATCTGTTTGCGTGAATGATTTCTCTTAAACCGTTGATCATACCCTCAATTTTGATCCAATGTATAGATTCTTTTATGGATTTAAAATCACTAGCTATTATGCTTCTCACACCAAAATCCTTAGAAAGTGCGTTTAAGAATATATTAAAAAACAGTCGAATTTGGTTTCTCAAATTAAAATGTTTCTTTTTTAAGAAAATATGAATCGATTATTTTTAAAGTAGGTAATTTTAATTATACATTGTTTTTCTAACTAAAAAAAAATGTAACTAAAAATTTAGTGGTTTGTTTATCTATAATGATATCCATTTTATGCTTTAATTTTATGTAACATATTTTAATGGCCGAAACATAAAATAAAATTATCAAATGCAATATAAGAGATATCAAAATATGTACACAAAAACTCCGATTATAACCCATTTATAAAGATATAAAGATATTGAGCTTAAGTGTGTGAAAACGTTTGGCATATTTTGGTATTTTAAAGATACTGACTTCTTAAAAATGTTGACAACAACCGTTAATGGAGGAAAAGTTAAATGATTAGAAAAAATTACAATGGATGAAAGACAGAACTGCAGCTTTGATTTATGTGCAGATCCGTCACAAGAGATTTACATGAGACTATATTGCGTTAGTGCTCAAGCCAAGTCATGATAAGCACGCTTAAAGAAGAGAAAGAGATCTGAGTTCATAGGATAACACAAAGCGCATTCGTTCACGTGTGGGAAAAGAATATAGGCTGTTGGAATGTGAACAATTAACGATGCAACTACAGAAGTTGTCAAAGTACTCATCGTTGGGTGTCATATTAAACTCCACTGCACCTTGAACGTGAAAAGAAATTTCTTTACTTCGAACTCGAGCGAGCTATCATTACAATTGGTTCGACAAGTATAATTTAACCCGAAGTTAATTTTATAAAGCTAACATTTACTGTAAAACGTTAAGGTGGTTAAAATGAACAATCCGAATAGGTTTCTTCTGAGACTGCGACGTATTGTGCCAAACAATATACTTTCCTGAGGTATATAAAGATGCTAAGCTTTCCATCGGATTTTAATTCACGTTAATACAAAGTAAATTTATTACGGAGTAAACTTTAATATCCTGGCTTCCCTTCACATTCTGGTATATTTATAGTTGAAATTTTAATCGAAAATTCCTCAGGCACATGCAACTAGCGCTTTTATAGCTATATCCCGAATATAGGAAAAAACTTAGATTTGTGTAACTCTACTTATTTTATTTATAAATCTTTAAAGGAGAAAGAATTGCTACTACTTACGTTTGCATTCAAGTTCTCCTTGGGGTGCATATCCTGGTTTGCACATGCATTTCCTGTTACCTCGGGAGTCTGTTACCCATCGACCATTTTTACAACCACTACCTGAAATGCAAGAATGCTTTCATTATAAAAAATAATCATAAGTAAGCTAAAAACCCCTTAAAAATCAAGATGTTTGCAGTAAATTTCTGTAATTTATAAATCTATACGGAAATTTGCAGTTTAATGACGAAAATATGCATATAGTACTATACAGCAAGGGTAGCCAGCCATAGTTCGGCGCGCATGTTGCTTTTGAAGGCGAGTGGTGCGGGTCTTATGTAAATAAAATATGGTTAACTGTATGGTTAATATGGTACTGTAAACTGTATGGTAAATATGGTTATGTATGAAATATGGTAAACTGAAACTACTCAATGCCAAAAAGAAATTAATTTCTTTCTAGAAAGTTATTAATAAACTTAAACTAATCAATATCCATATATATATGTAAAATATAAAAAAAAAAAAAAAAATACGATGGCTTTGCTTTTTGCGAACCAGCAACCTTGGTTAACTCCATCTGGAAAAAGTCATCTGCTCTAAATTAAAATAAAGATATGCTTGCTGTTAAAAGTGAAAAGTCCTGAGTCGTCATTTTTCTCCGTGCTTCAATCATCCCAGCTTCGTCAACCATCTGCCAGAAAGTGTAGTGGAATAGCCTCACCATTCGCCCACGATGTGTTGGAATAACTGAAAACATTACATATATATATCCGAAATATTGCGAGAAAAATCATAAAATGCAACTAGAATTTTCCTTTACCTCTTTTTGGTTTGTAAAACACGTCAAAAATATTTTAATATGTGAATTAATTATAATATATCATCTAAAATATTTATAATCAGTAATTATAAATTTCTCATTTTAATCATTTTTTCAAAAGCAAAATTTGAAATTCGAACAGCCGTAAAATGTTTTATTTAAAACCACTCAGCAGCAAATGCAATTTCTTCTCTTCGCTTAGCCATTTGGTCCCGTATATACTATATATATGTAATATTTTGGCAGCCGAGCACATGAGTAACGAAGCTTGCCATCGGTGTCCGGGCATTGTTTGGCTGAGTGGAATATAGCAGAAATGATGACACAGAAGGATTTCACTAACTATTCCATATTTTTATTTCAATTTTCACCGCAAATCATTTTTACTTTAGATGAAATTCTCCAAATTACATATTCAATAATGATTTAAGTACGATTAAATTGAGACATAACTATTCTAACATAGGAAAGATGGGTTAAGCAGCAGGAAGTGTTGTAGCGCAGGAGGACAGAAGCAATCTGATGCAAAATAGCGCGATTTCGTTATTTAACAGAAGCGGTTACACAATAGGTTTGAATTTTCTCGAAAATACTGGTTTGGGGGGGGGAAGATCCTGAAATTGCGGTATGTTAATTGGAGGTTGCTTGTTCGCATAGAGCAAAACCATCGTATTTTTTATATTTTACATCTCTCTCTCTATATATATAAGGTAAAAAGGAAATTCTTCATGCTATTGCTTTAAAGCAAATGTGATACTGTGGTTCCCGTGAATAATTTTTAACACTAAGTTAAATAAATTGCAATTAAAAGTTTAAATACAAGAAAAATGAAATTATTACAAAAAATGACAAATAAAAGGTGAATGTAAAACTCAAATCAAATTGGAAGTTAAAAATGTTGATTAAAGTTTAAACAATCCTAAAACATTTTAACATAAACACAAAAATTATTTAAGACATAAGCAAAAATACAAAGAAGCGGTAAATGGTAAAATTAACCTAATTCGAATCTCATTACGGACTCTTCAGGGGAAATGCACAATGATCTTCGAATCCAGCTAATTCCATATCACAGGTCTTTTTTAGCTTGTTCTCTTTTCTTAATTTATATATATATGTATGTATGTATGAGGATTAAAAAAAACTAAGTTCAAAGGTGAGAAAAATGTTCTCCCCCAACCTCACTTAGTATTTAAAATAATTCAGTTTATACATATAAAAAGAATTGCTCATTATTTTCAGTCATATTTAATTATATTTCTCTTCTTCTAGACTGATTTTTAGAAAGTTACTGGAACAATTAAGAAATAAAGCACGTGAATACCGAAGGGGGGTGCATTTTAAGGTCTGTCAAAATTTTTAAAAGCCTTTTTATACCATTTATTATTCGTCAAATTAGTTTCAAAATTTTTCTTTAGTGCGGTAAGGGTATTAAGGTATTCTTTTAGCAAAATTTTAAAAATCGGTAATTTCATCCATTTTGGGATACCAAGTCCCCTTATCTCTTTAATCATAGTAATATGTGTCGTCATCACCCATCACCGCACAGAGTGAATTTGGACATTTTAGCAAATAATAGGATTCGACCTTTTTTCCGAGACAGACGTTGCCATAACTATGCATGGTTTGGGAAATATCCGGCAAGGCTCAGTAGTCTCTTTACATCTTTTTGCCATTTTCAGTTAGCCCTTTTGATAAAAACTTTATTTTTACGTATCATTTATTTACATATAATGTATTTAAAACTGGATAAAAATATTAACAAAATAATAAAACAGGAAAATGTGACTTTAATAATTCACCAAACGCTAGATATTATTAATCAACTCAAAAGCGAAAATAGAAGTAATGGAACGGGGCGTTCTATTCTTTTTATCAAAAGCAGAGAGGAAGGCTATGGTAGACCAGCGAAACATTTTGCTGGATAATAAATGAATATACATTTAGGCCTACATGGGAAGGTTATATATCTTCTGTACATTTGAAAAACGAAAAAATATATAACGTAATTCTATATTAATTTTTAACGAGTTTAATTAGATAAATTATGAATTAACAGAATTTTAATTTAAATCAGTCAGAATAATATTCTTAGAAATTACATCTATTGCTTTTAAAGAGCTTCGTCAATAAATAACAGACAGATTAAATTTAAAAGATAACCATTTTCCTGCGTGTTAACAAACTCGAATTAAAAATGAAAACTCGCTTTTACAGAGGCCGACGCGAAATCGCGTTTCGAAACTAACAGACCTTTTGAACTAAAAATAGCAGATCATATGAAGCCTTTACTGGAAGTTTTCGAACTTAATCATTGGAACTTTCGAAAAGACTTCATGGGCTGGCAATAATAATGTGTTCAAACCAAAAACTGATTAAATACAGTTAAACTATGAGTCAATTTATTCATTAATAGTTTTTTTTTTCTTTTTATTAATGCGGTTGAAGAATTATTCTGAAGAACTGAAATGAAGTCACAACAAATTTGTTTTTCAATATTTAATTAGCACAGAGTGGCAACCGTAAGATAATTTCAGAGAATGCAAAATAACTTGAGATTATAATATTGACTTTTAGAAACGAAATTAAAGTGACATTTTATGTATATTCTTATTTTCTAAAGTACAAAAATAAAGCTGATTGTACATTTAGCTGCCTAATTAATTGGCTTCCAATCCGTAATTACTATATGAAATTTTTTCATGTATCAGTAGCGCCAAAAAATCATATAGCAGTGAAATATATAATTTTATTCCAATAATATGGCGTAAATCATAATCTGACATAACTAAAATTCCGAAATGCCAAACTGATGTATTCTTATTTCGGTTCAGCAATAAATGTGATAAGAAATTGTCTTCTTATCTCAATAGAGTGTAAAATGCATTTTTGTGCATATCATTTGTCTCATGTCTAAGCTTATAACAATGATAAGTTGATTTCTTAAGTATCCATATGAAAATAATAATTTTATCTTTTGTTATCACTTATTTGTGTCATTCATTCAATTTCATCAATTTTCTCGTCCTAGCTTTCAAACTTTTTCTGCTTTTTTATTATTCTGTCATTTGTATTTTTTCTAAGTTTTACTTTCGATTGGATTCTTTCCCTTGGTTGAAGATAATATAAAAAGCACTCCGGATAAGAATGAGACATACTGATTAAGTACGAGCTAAAAAAGATAATTATGCTTGTTTTTCAAGTTACTATGGTTCCAGCGTTTCAAATTTTCCAACAATGGCATTTTCAGTTAAATACCAGAAACATTTATAAAACGGCACCTCATAACAAAAGCTAATAGAACTTTGCGCTTTTCTTTGTAATTGAGATGCCAAAAGAAGTAAAATTGCTGTCCTGTACAGAAATAATCAAATTTCTAACGATTTATCGAATTTTAAAACAATATGAAGAGCATGAGCAATTTAATATAAATGAAATTTTTTTTTTAAATTCCAGAAAAGAAGCAAGAAAGGAATCTGAATAGTTAAACGTAACTTTGTCAAGAAACTGGAAATTTGCATCCCTCTAATCGCTCAAAATTTGAAGCCGAAAAACTCAACTGTTGCTTGAATGAAAGAAGAGAGCGGTGTTTGAAATCTTAGATCAGGACTGCTGCTGTAAAATACACATTAGATCAAGAAACGTGAGCAAATATACTGCCTTGAAAATTCTAAATAGTTGATGCTATCTGGATGGGCCCAAAAACTAATATAGATGGTGAATCAAATTTTAAGTTTAATCTTAACCTGAATGTTGGTACTAAATATCATCAATGAAGCTTTACTAATTACCTTTGTACTTAATCTTAAAGCCTGTAGAGAAATTCCTTTAGAAATCATCATCTATTTCCTCAAGGTCTACGTAATTAAGGAACGTTATTATACTACTGATGCATTTTCTAGAGTGAGTGGCCGCCTACTTGGGTCATGTTCTTGCACACATAGAAACGTATCTGTATCTAGAAAATTAACTGTATGGCACTGAACACACTAAGAGAACAATGTTTGTAAGATAATCGTTTTTTAGCAAACTGTAAAAGGCTCCTCTATTTACTCAAATCAGTGCATTAAAAAGTGAATAATTCCTTTCATCAAAGAACATCACCAAAGTAAAGATATTTCGTTAGCTACCAGCCATTACAAGAAAGATATTACCAATTAGTTGAATAGTCAGAAAGTGGATTTAGTATCTAAACAAAAAAACGCCCCCCCCCAACGCACCCCAGTCTAGAAGTTTGAAACATCTGGGGGCATTATTTAAAGTAAGCACTCCAGTGAAAGAAAGAATCTAAACGCTT